TGGCCATGGCTAGATGGGGTGGGCTCAGCAACCTTCAGTGGCAAAAATAGGCCTTCAGCAGGGTTAAGAACATTTGATATGACTTTGGCTTAAGCTACATCAGCCCTTATTTTCCAGTCTGGTCCTGTATTACACCTGGGTCCCACCTAGCTGAGAAATTTCATATTGCTATTCAGTGCGCTCTTTATTCAAAATATTGTCTGTTAGCATTTTCTGAAACAATTCATATTTTTAAACAACTATATTTTATGATGTAAAACATCAGCATTTTGCACTGTCTTTCAAAATGAATGTAGAACACATCAAACACTGCAACATTTTGAAACTTATCTTGAAATGGGCATATGCTTTTTTCTAATTCATTTTCATTTTCTGCTTACTGATACTACTGAGCTGCTGAAAAGTAGCATTTCTTCCCCTGGTAATTCATTAAAAAAAAAAAGGATTACTTTTACAACTCTTTGAAAAGGTTCACCATTGATAAAGTGCAAAAGAGTTCAGACCTTCCAGTAAAACTTTGGACTGTTTGATTACCAAATGTCTATTAATCAGTAAAGGAAGTTTTTCAAACTCTGTGTGTGGGAGACAACCCAAAAGAAAACATCCTGATACAATTATAATGTTAGCCTTTGAATTGCGTAACTTAATATAATGCAATTATTATTTTTTTTTCCCTTAAAGGAAAAAATGCATGTTTTTTGTGACATTAGGGTGAAAGTAAAACATTGGTAATGGAGAAGAAATAAATCAAAGTAGATTATAATCCAAGCCCAGATCTGATTCTGGTGAAAGGGATGAAGTTTTTGCTTTTACATAAGAACAGTTAGTGTTCTTAATTTATTTTGTAGATAAACTCCAAAAGTCCTTGAGCTGCATGTGCTCTGGATCTAAGACACTTGTTTGTTATGGAAAGAGTGTACATCTCCATCCTTGGAGATATTCACAGCTTGACTAGACATGACCCTGAGTAATCTGATCTAATTTTGAAGTTCCATCTAACTTCAAGGTTGGCCCTGCTTTGAATCAGGATCAGACTAGGTGACATCAGGAGGATTCTTCCAACCAGGGTTTTTCTATGAATTTCTCTGCATGTCTGCATATATGCGTATGCAGACAAGTATAGAAAGGTTACCCCTCAGGTCCAGTGTAAGCATTTCATTTTCACTGACAGCAGCAGTATGAAGCTTGTTATAAGGCACTCTGGCTAAATCAGTGAGTGAATATGACAGTCTTTTTATAGTGCCCTTCCAAAGCAGATAAGTATGGAAAAGAAGCCTTACAGCAACCAGCTTGTGTGAGTAAAGGGCTATGTGTCTATGGATTTCTTCAAGTTAACTTAATTTTCCTGGACATGTTTGTTTCTTGGAGGAAAACAATTAGAAACAAGCTCAAAGCCCTGTCTGTCTGCACAACAAGAAGTGACCTGCAGCAACAGGGCAGAGGTGGTGGCCTAAGAGAGGGTGGAGGCAGGTTGTAGGTGTTTCCTCCAGCTGTTGCTGATAACCCCTTTGTGGTTTCCCTAGTTTTTCCTTTCCTCCCTCTGTGCCTGCTCTCCTTCATCTCCTCATTTCTCTGCTAGTTGCTGTTATCTAGGAATGGCACTTGAATTCCATATAAGCCCTTTTTTCAATGGCCAGAATATATGTTCTGTGTTTTCACGGCTGAAATGCATGTTCATCAGAGAAGAAACTACTGTTAGGAGAAAAAGCCTCCTGGGAGACATGATGTACTACAGTGTCTTGTTTTTTCACCTGCTCAATATGTGATCACAGAGCTACTCCGGCTGTCAGAACGGAATACGATGCTTTAAAATTTAAGTGGATTTTGACAGCAGTTGAAAACTGAAATTATAGCTATTATTTCTTCAGCCTGGTCTCTGAGGGTTTGATGATTCTTAGATTCAGGCATTCATCTGTGAAGCCTGGAAATTTTGTAATCTAATGCTCAACCACATGCAGAAAAAGTTGTGCAAGAAGATGGAAATCACTTTGCAATGGGTTAAAGGAATAATGTAATTGGGAAATGAACTATATAGAGATCAGAAGTTAGGGTGTTGCTGGCATGAAACAGCATAACCCTGTGCCAAATCAAAGGTTTACACCATCTTTCAGCATCTGGGCATGGGACAACAGAGCAGTGAGGCAGTAACTCGTTGTACTGGTGGAGATGAAAAGAAATACAGAAAGCAAGGATGGCAAAATGGGGATCTGTTTGCCAAGAAATCACTCAGAATCTGGTGTACTCACTAAAATATCTTCATTTTTTCCTTTACTCATAACATAAAGTTCAGGGGTTAAAATATTCTGATATTTAGGTGCAATATTTGAATGGTAGGGAGCATCAAGTTATAAAAAGAAAGAAAGAAAGAAAAAAAAAGCACAACAATTAAATTGTAGCAATTCTGTTTCATTACAAATGAGCTTTTGGTTAAGAGGGGCATAAATAATGCCAGCTACACAGACAATACCAATTTCCACAGTGATTCACCACAGAAGGTCACTGTAAAAACAGCATGAAATGGTGTTTCTGGAGACAAGTTCAATTTATCCTGAAAAGAAACATTGAAACCAGAAATGGACAAACAGCCATACAAAATAATAAAACAGCAGTGGCTCATACGATCCTCTTCTGTTCTTTTAGAGGCTTGCCTTGACTTTTCTGTCAATGAGATCAAAAAAATATACTATGAAATCTGTAAGAAAATAAAATTGGCTCCCTCATTAAATGATCTCTCTCCTTCGTTTCTTTCTCTCAGTGGTGCAGCCAAGCCTGAGGAGAGTCCTCGTGTGCATGGCACGTTCATGTTCCTCCAGCAGGCAGTGAGCGGGCATGGGAACACACGAGGGGACATCGAGGTTGTAAGGCAGAGCGCAGTACATTTGTCTTTGCATCACCCCAGCTCTCTGCTTGTGATGCTTCTCATGTATGAGCATTAATTTGCAAACCGTTTATTTGTTCCCAGGGATGCGTCCTTTAAAAGCAGACAGAACCAGGTGTCTTCAATATCTTGATGGATGGTCAGCAGCCAAGTGAACACGGGTGCAAGGTGGAGACTAGCTGGGGAAAAACCAACCGGAAATGGTTGTTTACCAATGTCTCAAAATGCTGCTGTGTTTTGAGGGCTGGTGGTGCAAACAGGCTTTACTATCTCCTTTCCTGCATTACCCTAGCTGAGAGAGCTTTCTGCCCTGGTTTTGGTTTGGAGGCACTGATGCAGGGCAATTGCACTGCTAAGATCAGCCCAGTTTGGAGTTTTCTTGTTCCTGGGAACGCTTATGTTCCAGCAACTTCCTCTGCATTACCTGGTGTGACCTGATGAGGCTAGGGACAGTTCCTCTGGGCACCCTTCTGAGAAACGAAAAAACAGCCTTGCCTACGTTGTACTCGGTTGCTACAACTTTTGCATCCAAACTCAACTCTGTTGCGCATTTTGCAGCTCTGGAGAATAGTCTGCCTACCTGTGATACTGAGCAGAGCACTGTAATGGATTTCCCTCTAGTGATGAAATATGTCAACTACAGATTAGTCAATATATCTGCAGTCCTAGTACAGTGAGAGCAGGTGTTTCTCCCTTGCTTTCAAACAGGCACTTTGGGAGGGAAGGAAAAGAAAATCAGAAGTTTTTTGGATGTGGAATGCTTTGCAGTTAAAGCACAAACAATGAGACTCTTTGCCATAAAAACAAAAGAAGCAAAAAGAAACCCTTTGAAATTAAAAACAGAGTTGTGCATTAAATACACACTCGCAGCAGGTTTATTATTCTGGAGAAAAATTACTATCTCTGTGTCATAACTTGTTTACTGGTGGAGCACATAACTTTTTAATCATTTATTTTCTTGGTGTTTAGAAAATTTCTCATCTTCTCCAGGCCTGAGACTGACACAATTTTAAGATTTTTCATTCTGTATTAAGATTAAAAAATTGTATCAGAAATAGATGCTCTGGGGCTCAAAACCTGCATGGTAGATTCAGTGTGGATTCATCTAATTTTGGTCAGCCAATGAAGAAAATATTTACTTAACCTGAGTGCAAAATACAATAACCTATCTGTTGCTGTTATTATTTTCTTTGGAACTGTCACTTTTGAAATCAAAAGTGTGTGTTATTTCCCCTAAATAATTTTGAATTTATCGATTGTTTTCAAACAAACTCAGCAGTAGGAAAAAGGTTTTGGAGATATTAGATTTTGACATCACTTGTAAAAAGAGGCAGCCAGCTACAGAGGAAAAGCGATTAATGCATGCCCTGAGGGGCAGCAGTGTATGAGCAGCGTCTGTATGGACGCAGCGTGCCTGTGGGTAGCTGACTGGGGAGGGCAGCCACACCTTCACCAGTGGGTCGTGCCTTATTAGAAAGCAGATTATTTACGCATGCCTTGGGGAAGTCTCTCGAGGATTTTTTTGGGGGGATGTAATAAGAGGAACAAGGTTAGAAATAAAAAAAATCTCTGGAGATACGGTTCACTTCTATCGTGGAGATAAAAGAAAGGTGGTATGGCTGCGCAGCAACCACGGACTATCGTCAGTGGACAGGGAGTGGCCCTTTTTCTTCTGCAGGAAAAGATCAGAGGACATTTGGGCATTTGGGGACCACAGGGTTTGAGGCGCATGGTGTGAGGTGGGCAGGACAGGTGGTGTGGCTGAGGCATCCTGGTTTTGGTTGTGGTGATCCTTGGAGGTTTAGCCATGCAAGGCGCAGTGTGCCCCCACATCCCCTGTGCTCCCTTCAGCTGCCTGCCACGTCTGGCCTTTTCTCACACAACCTCCCCTTAACCACCCATGAAATCCAGACATTCCTCGTGTCATGTCTGACAATTTCTCCACGTCCTGATGACTTCATGTCAGCGGGCCAGGGACCAGCTGTCCGCCTGCAGCCCTGGCACATCATCCCATTTCTTCCTTCCACTTCACTCGCGCAATGATCTGCCTTACCCTGAGCCCCCATCGCTCTCCACACACATTATACTCTTATTATTTATTTATTTATTTATTTTTCCACAGAATACTTGCGTGCGCAGAAAGACAAGCTTAACAAATATTTGAAGAGATGATTTCATTATGCATTTTGCAGAGCAGTATTTTCTGCCATCCTTGGTAAGGGGAGGTGAGAAAAGGAGCGACTTATGGTTGCCACATACATTGAATTACAATTAAAATTATATATATATATATTTTTTTAAACTTCATGCTTGGTGAACACATAACACTCACAGAATAAACATCTCCCAAAGCCAGAAAGGTTGCAGAATCTGAGAAATAATCAACGTTACTTTAGCGAGGTCTAAAAATCATTAAATATTTAAGCTAGTCTCTCTGAGAATTTTAATTACATTTAAAGAGCAATTCTTCTCTTACACATGACAACAAGAATGGTGTCTTCTGTGCCAATAAATTTGCATCTAGGTTGTATCTGACATCAATTCTGCATATTTTAAAAAATAAAATAAATGACTTCTGTCTTTTAGAGTTGTTAGCATCACGACACTGCTTAAATAATCCCCATTTAACTAAATCATCTCCATTCCCTTTGATAAGATCACATCCTCAAATGTTAATTTTAGATATATTACCATACAAAACTTCAGGGCTCTTTGCATCTTTATATATATATATATATATATGTTTAGAGCAGCACACAAAATGCATACCTTCTCAGCTTTACTTACAGTAACTGGGGATTTTTGTGTAAAAAATCCCTAATGTAGGCAAGCACTGTAAGCTAAGAGCCAAGAACAAAAAATTTTCCTTCCTGCAGATGCACTTGGGGTCAGATTTGATGTTACTTTGCAATCAGGAAGCCAATCAAAAAACTCTCAAGGCACTTCACAGTTTTCAATCTTGTTAAAATAGATTAATGAAGAACAGGATACAACTGAAGGACAAAGAAACATGGAAAATCCTCTGTCCTGTGTGATCTGGAGATGCAAAAGAAGGAAGAAAAAAAAAATACCAAAAATTTTACCTAATTTGACCATTATCAAGAAGGCTTTTCAGGGCTCAAGATGTAAGGTCTTCCTGACCTTGTACATTAAGTACTTTTAATATGCATTTGAGAGAAGTTTAGGTAGCCAGCCTCATCGCCATGCTTGCTTAAAAGTTGTCTGTTCAAAACAAATGTGGTTTCAGGAATATATAAACTTTGATTAAAAGCTGTTTTAGAGGTTATGTTTGAGAAGATTTTTTTTCTCTCTCTTAAATTGTATGTAAAATACCTATTTTTTGTCTATACCTCCCTTTAATACACCTATTCAGTGCCATATGGTTTTGTTTTCTTTAAGGCAAGAATTATTTTCCTATAACTGTTCTGACTTAGGGCACAGAGTAGCATCTCTTAAATCAGGAAACCCAGGCAGGCTTCTGGATGCTTTACAGCTTTCCATTCTAGCAGCAAGGTGCCGGAGCAGCTTTGCTTGGCAAGGCGATAATTCCCACACTGAGGGAAGACAAGAACAGACCACAAAAGCTTTAGATAAATACAAGAAGAAAGCTGTTAAATGCATTTCAGTGGACATTTACGTGCGTCCGAGCACTATAGGACATAAAAAGCTGATTGTAAAAATAAGCAGCTCCTAGAGATGAGTTGCTTGTCACTGTGTATGTATTGGCAAAGGGTGTAAAACAAAACAGCACTGAAATGTCCCCCCCAAAACTAATCACGACATTCAGCTGAAGATTAAGATCCAAAATACTCCTCGTATAAACTCGTTCCTGTTAAATAAGCTGAGAAATGTGAGAGACTCCACCAGGCAAGGAGCTATCACTGTTGCCCTTGTAGCACAAGAAAGGAGCTATTAACTTTCTCATAGTGAGGTATGGAGGGATAATACGTTTCTGAGCCCAGAACGACCTAATCAATCACGTATAAAAAGAGGCCAGCAATTCTTTCTCTTCAGGATTCATTCTCTTCCATTATTTGCAGGTAGCTCGCTGCCATCCCAGGCCTTGGCAGGAGTTAGGAGTGAACCAGGGCAACCCATCACCTCCAAGAGACACAGCCAAGAGAGATTTTGTCATGCTCTCTTTATGGAGAGAGCATAACAAAGCAGCCCAGTTCAGCCTCACAAGCAGCCCAGCTATAAGCTGTGATCAGTGTGAGCTGAGCATCAGCTGGCTGAGCACCACTAGAGATGAGATTCCTGGCCTAAAGTGGCTCTTTGGTTTGAATTAATACGGCTTCTGCTTGATTTTTTTTTTTCCCCTTTCTGTTGTTTTGAAGGGGAAAAAATCCATTGCTGTAAGAAGCGGATGAGGTAGACAAAGCCCTGAGCAACCCAGTCTGACCTGGGCTGTATGAAGTTGTTTAAGAATTTTCCCACTTATTAAGAAAAATAAATTTTCTTTAAATTCCAATTAAATATCTTCTCGTGACCTTCTAGTGTGTGTTGCCTGTAAAAATCCCCTAATGTTTATTTGCTCTTATTTAGTGGTTTCTCCAGGGAAAAGATGTTCCTGCTTTAAATTTCTGGAAAGTCCCTAGCTGTTGTTAATAAACATGCTGCAGATATTTTAATCACAAAATATTTTCTACTTAATTCCTGTTTCATTTATTTCCCTACACCATTTGTTTGGATATTGGTAGTGTTGGCTCTGCGTCTGCAGTGTGCTAACTTCAGATTTCTTTCGTAAGACTCCGTCTCTCTCTCCTGTGACTTTTGATGTCTAAAAGCACAGCTTGCTGTTTCATGACATGCTGCACCTTACCTGTGCGTGCAGCAGCTCTCTGTAACACACACTCCGTTGTGCAAACAGAGTGAGAGGTCTTTGGATTTTAAGTTCTTGGCAATGGTCTGGATCCAGAAAGCGTTGCAGGGTGTCCTCCCTGCCTCCTGCAAAGGTGACAGATGCCATGCTGTGTCCACAGAGGCTTTTGGGCCAAGCTGGGGAAAAGCTGTTGGCTATTTTCTGCAGCTGCTGATGACCTCTTAAAATGAAGTCGATCTTGTTTTTATCTGAGCTATATGGTACAAAGCATTTTTTCTGGGATGAGAAAATATGAAAGCCTGAGCCAGCGTGTGATCCAGCCCAAGCCTGGCAGGATGCTAACTCATCCATGCTGCTTTAGCTGTCTCGGCCATTCCAGATGTTTTCCCAGCACTGTGTTGTACAGTGAAGAAATCCTCAATTTTGCATGCTGTCTCTGTCCTTCCAGAGGTATGTGCCTTCAGCACAGATGTGCTGACCACACTGTTCTTTTAAACCCCTTTTCAGCGTACAGAAAAGGAGCTGGCTGGTTTCAGCAGTTGCTTGTTGCAGCCTTCCACACAGCTGCAATTCAGGGAAACGCCAATTTGGATTTTCCAGGCTCTCCGTTCCCATGTTCCAGTAGCAAAGCAAAGCAATTCTTGTACATGTTTAATCATAAAGGGACACAGTACTCCCAGCTACTGCTTTGGAGTATAAGCAAAACACATCTGCCACAATTGTAAATAAAGCATTGAACCTTATGGTGAAAAAGGAATCAGATGGCTGTGCAGTAAGGGGTAGTGTCAGGATTTTGTTTGTAAATGAGCATGCACTTTCTCTTGCATTTTGCCATGATATGCTAACATATTTTGCATCTACGCTAGAAAAAAGGTACTTGTTTTGAACTAATGGACTACTTCTGCTTCTTGGTGAAACACAGAAAAGGAATAGAAAGTATTAACTCTCAATGTTTGTTGTATTTTCAAAGGTACACTCCGGATGGTTAAGGTGTGATACAACACATTTTAATTAGGATGTTTACAATTATGCTAATGCAACTATTTTAAATTCTTTTTTTTTTCCTTTGTTATTTATTTAGGACTAGTGCCTGCAGGCTGACTCACCAGAATGAAATCTAGGCAAGCCTGCAGTTACATATCTGGAAAGATCCCATCAGTCAGGGGCAGCGAAGCCATCAGGAGTTTTGCCATTCACTTACCGGCAACCCGTGGACTTTGAAAGACATTTCTTAAGTTCTCAAAAACTCTTGGGTGCAGCCAGTTAAATAGCTCATTCCTTTGCCAGCCGTAGCCCCTTTGCTGTTAATCCCAGTTATAAATGATTTGTTTTACTGAAATTCAAATGAAGATTTGAATCTGTTTCCTGTTCATACACACAAACTTAAGACAGATATTTGGCTGTAGCCAGAGTTCATACAGCCTCCTGGGGGCTATGTGAGTTTGGTGTGAGTCATAGTTCGCTGACATTCAGCATGAAAAGAAAAATTCTAAAAGTCTAACCAAGTCTGCTGGTCATTGGGAAGTTTGTAAACTTGTCAGCCTTGTTTGGAAGCTGTTTTCCCTATTGTGGTTTGCAACTGCAATTATGTAAAAAGTGATGCAAGATGTGGCCACAGGCACTATGAAATGCTCTATCTGCTTTCTGTGAAGATCAGCTGAACAAGTTAGGTTATGAATAGAAACAAAATATTGCTGGTTCAGGAAAAAAATAAACAGACAAACAATGAAAAAACAACCAACCACCACAGAGTCATTTCCAGCTACCTTTCATCTATTTTTCATTCAGGATAAAGTGCCTGTCACTGCAGTGCTGCCATGTAGTGTGAAGCATTAGATAGCCAGGAAACAGTTTCAAAGCAAAGACATAATTCACAGGTCTGAAATTTTATGTGGCGATGAATCCCAAAGAAAATGGAGCGTCAGCTGATCCGAGGCAGCAGGTGTCAGCATGCCATCAGTTGTTACGAACCCTCCTGCTGTCAGTAGACTTCAAACCTTCTTCTGCATGTCTTGAATTCTAAAGAAATGACCAAAGGGAAGAGAGTTTTCCATTTATAGGGAAGAAGTGAGCTTGGGAATTTTCAGTACTTCTATAAGAAAGAAGAAAGCCTGGCTTTACTTCCTCCGAAATTGCCACATGGCGTTCATTGTTCCGTGCAGCCTCAGAAACACCTGTGCTCTATGGCCAACACACGCGATTCAGCACTCTCAGTGGAACCAAAACAATGAAGATTAAACAATTAAATTGTACTTTCAGATATAAATAAGGCTTATCTTGGCTACCAAGAGTAGCCAAGAGTACAAAGAGTTCTGATATCAAAATGAAAATCTGAAAGTATCTAATCTATTTTTCCTACTTTATTTTCTAGTCTACTCCTTGAATTCTATTAAAATTGGTTATCTGAACTTTTCTTTCCCTTTTGTTTATAGACTTTTCAATTACAGTCAATTTTCATTTTTGTGGGTTTAGAGCAGCACTACAATTTTTGAAGAGATATGCATAAACCTATTTCTGGAGCCAAATGATTTATCAGTTCTTATTACGCTGAGTGTAAGGAAAATCAGAACATATTTATATTTAATTCAAAATGTAAATAGATAAACAAGGTAAGTGAAAAGATAAATGTTTTTCAATAGGTTTGATTCACGATTTGTGACTAGGTGGTGTTGACATCAAACAACGTTTGATTGTAACATATGAAAATAACCACTTATAAAAAAAAACAGTTTACAGAACCAGAATATCTTGAGCTGGAAGGGACCCACAAGGATCACCGAGTCCAACTCCTGGCTCCAGACAGGACCACCCAAAAATCAGACCATGTGTCTGAGAGCATTTTCCAAGTGCTTCTTGAACTCTGTCAGGCTCAGTGCCATGACCATGTCCCTGGGCAGCCTGTGCCAGTGCCCAACCACCCTCTGGGTGCAGAACCTTTCCCTAATGCCCAGCCTGACCCTCCCCTCTCCCAGCTCCATGCTGTTAAATGCAACTTCAGGCCACAACTCATATTAGGTTTGATAAAAGATCATTTTTAAAGGGTTATTAGTTTTTCAAAGTCTTAAATTCTGGGCTTAGCAAATCTAGAAATATCATCTGAGACATAATACTTAATCTTTATGTTGGTTCTTCTTCCCTGGAGTTTTCAGTGAAAGAACTGAAGACAGTGAGTGGCTCACAAGGGACCCAAAGAGACTTCAAGGCCCCAGGTAGGAAAGTGCTACAGAAATACAAGGATGTGGGGAATAGCTGAGGCTGAACCTAAGAACTATGCTTCCAAAGTCTGAAGGTAGCAGCTAACTGAGAGATCCTGAAACCTTTCTCCTTTTCATATAGGCTACTGAGTTATTGGTATTCCAGAGTAAAACCCAGGAGTGTTATACTCTATAGATCTTCACTAAGCTCTGGAGTGCCACAGATAATAACTGTAAAAGCAATAATTAATAATTGCTATTAAGATATCATTTACAAAAGCCTGCAAATAAGTTGCCATATGTCAGAGAAGGTCAGGCAGTAGCCCGGAGGCAGACAGTTGTATCCCAAAGTCACTGATGAGCCAGGTGAGAGCACCAGGTGCTGAATATTGCCAGTGACTGTGCACACCAGGAAACCTGGCCCCTTGCCCTTCTGCAGGGAAGTGTTAACAGAGCAAGTCAGAGCAGAAAATGGTAGAAAGCAGGGAAACCAGTTCTTCAGGGTGTGTAATAGGATATTTTGAATTTTCAGTGAAAAACGCTTGCTTTTCTCAGCATTGGTAGGTGAAGAAATCAGTAGTGCATGCAACTGCTGCTGTTAATGAGGGATAACTGCTGACTATGGCTGGCCATCTTTCCAGGAAAGCAACTCCCAGTGTGTTTTGTTCATCGCTCAGCTGAGGAGTGGCATCAGAAAGACCAAAAAGACTGGGAGGTAAACAGAACATCAGGCATGGGGTAGAAGGTCTCAGTCTCCATACTCTTAGGTCACTTCTCTCTAATATCTGTGTTTGTGTATCTCACTTCTGCGGGCTCCTCTCTGATGGATGTCATTTTCTGATGCTTGCTTTATAGCTGTTCAGCACTTTTATTACCCTACCATCTGTTCTAAACTGTTAAAGATGCTTTTATTCTTAATTTTTCTTCAGGGATGTAGAAGAGGCATCTGCCTCCAAACACTTAAAATTTCCTAATATACTTCTACCAATTATTCAGGCAAAGTAACTCAGATATATTTTCAGTATGATTTACAGATGACTAAAAAATAAAGAGTATATTGCTTACACCTTTATTTTTTTTTTTATGTTTGAAAACTGGCATGCATACCAACTTGGAAAATTGCTTGTCTTGCATATGAACTCAACAAAGTTAGGCTTGAAATTAGTGGAGTTCTTATCCTAAGCCTTTAATTTTAAACGTGCTATCAAGTATTTTGCTAAATGAGGAACCATAAATATCTCCTTACTCCAATCTGTTAGTCCTAACACTGCTAAATCTACAGAATACATTTTGGCAAGCCTTTCCATCACAAAGCTCTGTGTAAACACCGATTAATCTAGTTACTACAGTGGGAACTCTCAAGCAGAAAAAAAGGCTTCTTAAAGGCTTCAGAGTGGATTTAGTGAGTCTGAGCTGGGCTTAAAACTAAGGAGTTTCAGTTGTTAGGCCGTGGAAATAAATCCCCTCCTGACCCAAGTGTATCAAAGATGAGGTGATGGTCCCCATGGGGTACTCACCCCTCTCTGCTGGCAGCCTCCTCCCCAGCATAGCTGCAGAAGCACAGCTCACATGAGTTAAATACCTTGGGTGACCTAAGGCTCCTTAGCCATTTTTTTCGTTCTTTCTATTTTTCAACTGCTACCACTGAACAGGGCTTTGCCAACATTAGATAAGAGCTGCTGCTAAACACCTTAGGAAAAACATCCTTTTCTGTTGCTACAGACCTCTGCTCCAGCCTGTGCTTATCGCTGTTCCCAAGGTGATAGGAAAGACCTAAGGGTTTGTGGACATGACTGGGTGTAACTGAGTGACGGTGGCTGAAGGAGCTGCCTGTCCCCAGAGGAAGGTGGGATGTGTGAATTAAATCCGATCTGCCAGCCTGGCCAGAGATGTCTGCTGGTGCTGCTGCAGTTACTGAGGTCAAGTGGCCAGTGCTCTCAATGTATAGGAGGGTAGAAAAGAGCAACTCCACATTGGAATACATTTTTATAACTCTTTTTAGTTACTGATATTCCTCTCTGTACCATGATCTCACAGCTCCGTGTTAATTCAGGAGCCATCTCCTGGGTACTTGAGTGGTGGTGCTGAGCCCTGGAGCCAGGCTTCCCATGGTGTCCACTTCGGGTCTGGGCGCTGGACTTTTGTGGCTATACAGCTGCAGTTGGCCCCACCACAGATTGAGTGGCAAGTTGCTCATCTCACTTCACCGTCCCAAGCATGGAGTACAGGAGGATCTGTCAGCATGTGGAGCACTTTCAGCCAAGGATGAGAAGTCAGGTGTTAGATTCCAAAAGTATGATGGAAAAGTTTTCTGAGAAATCTATTCCCTGTTGCCTGCAATCAAGCCTGGAGGAAAGAGTGGGGTGCTGAGGGAGAGGCCGTATGCAAGGCTCCAAGGCTGGGTGACCTTGGGGTGCCTGAGCTTGGGCACCCCAGGTTTATCATGGTACCACAACCAGGGAGGGCTGCCCAGGCATGGTTAATGTGGGACAGAGGGTATGGTGTTGGCCTGTAGGAAGTAAACAAGGATTGTCATTGCTTTTTGGTATATTGGCAAAATTTGCCTACAGTTTTGTGGGGATAAAAGGCCACGTCTTTACGGCAGAAGCTGTCTGCAGGCAAATCCAAAAACCCCTGCTTCAAATTGGAGGTTGCTAGAGCTGCCAGAAGAGGGTCTTGGTATTTTGGATTAGGCAGAGGAGAAACTGAGACATTTGGAGGTTTTTGTTCCTCTGTGGCCCTAGAAACAGGCAAGCTATCTTGGCGGAAGCTTTTGGTGAAGGAGTGTGGGGGAAAATTGGCTGAGAGCAGATGCTCATTGTGTAAAATTTAATTCCAAGTTGTTAAACAACTGTAAACATGATTTTCTAGCTTTTATAGTTGGCGCTGTCACTATGTGTCATCAAACAATAATTGCTAATACCTTGCACCTTCTGTTCTCTCTGTATGCTTTTCATTCTGTTCAGATTTCTCATGCAGCCATAACGTCGGATTTGAAGTGCAGGAGCTGAAACACAAAGAGAACATCCATAGTGGCACAGTTTTCACACAAATGCTATGTTCAGGGAGCTAACTGTGAAGTTTGGTTGCCTGAAAGATGGAAAACTGCTTGGTGAACAAATGTTTTCATCAGGCTAGTACATTTGAGGTAGAATTCATGAGGGAAGATGGATTACTCTGAAAAATAAATAAATAAAATAAATAAATAAATAATTTGAAGTGATTGGCTCCACAGCTCCCATTTTAATGTCTTTTATGCTTCAGACTGGACTTGATTTCTCCTGGGCGGCCCACAGACCCCACTCTATGCCCCTTCCATGAGGCCTCCAAGTCTGCAGATGTCCCTTTGTGTGGACAGCCAGACCGTGGCCCTGCCAGCAATGCCGACTATTGCACACACACTGGCTGCTTCCAAGAAACATCTCAAGATGTAGGAAGATGGAGAATCACGGCCTGCCAGGTAGGCCAGCCTACCTTGTGGACCGGGTTTTCTGGGCCTTTGGCTTTTGATGGGCTTCTTTGATGGGCTGTAAAGGGCTTGCTATTCAGTAATAACACCCCTGTGATACCCACTGCCTCATCTACACTGTTAATGCTTTGCAAAGCCTGCACAAATCAATTTAATGAACGGGTTATATTAACATTATAACTGGAAAACATCATGGTGCTTAGTCCTCCCCATGGCTTTGAGCTACCTATCCCACATATGGCTGCTTTTGATCTGATGCTGAGGAATCTGAGAGATAAGGCTTGGTGTCTGAGGAGGTCTGGAGAGACAAGGGAAATACAGGCATCTAAAAATGTTTTTCCTTGTAAGTAGGAGTAAATTTGTTTACTGCTTTTCATATACATTATTTCTGTGAGTGTAGATATCATACGGAGTTAAAGAACCTTCTGATATAATCCATATTCTATGCAAAGTCTGGATGAAATAAAAATCAAATTCAAATTTTAACAAAACCATCAAATATACATGTCAGATGAAATCAGAGATCTGTTTATGTAGTTGTCTGTATTGAGTAGCAATGTCTGTGGAAATATTGCCACGCTCCATTAATTGGGACAAGAAAATAATACCTATCTGTTTAACACTGCATGCTGTCAAGACACTCTTCAAACAGTAATGCATTTGTCGTCTGCCTTCCCAGAGATGCACTGAAAATGCAATCCAAACTAAAATGAGAATTGAAAAGGGATGAATTAAACTGCACTAC